GTCTGGAATCACACAAATTAAAAAACTTTCTTTGTTCAATTCAAATAAATCTGTTTTGGTTTATTAAGCACATGTTGTAAAGAACTTGGTTAACTTAGTTGAGGTGTCACAAATCTTATGATTGTAGCAAGGTTTGCTAAACAAAACTAGTGGGAAATTGAAGTTTCAATATAGTAGCCCTCTAAAATTTGTCAGAAGGCAGCATATAGTCCAAATTTGGTTTACTGAATAGCCAATGAGAGAGGTAAAACTCCTTAAAAAATTTGGCACACTTTTATTCGTCTGATTGCCCTCTCAACATGGATACGGAGGCAGGCAATCTGCTGGGTATCTGTCACCTCTTTAGCAGTGAATTGTAAGGACTTTGTTCTTGGTGGGATTGTCAACTTAGCTTTTTTAGTTTCCAATAAATCCTGAATTAGGAAGCCCTTGTCTGCCATTACCTGGTCTCCTTCTTCAACAAGCGACAGAAACCACTGCGCCTTGTTATTTCTTTGTCGGATATACTTCCCTGATATAGGCAACTTACAAATGTTACTGTACCATGTGGAGCTATTCCAACTAAGCATTTAAATCTTGTGAATGACTTGTAGGTAGAATAAGTTTCTGAGTTTAAGACCTTGAAGCTAGGCCTTTGGACTTTAATTTCAGTGCAGTCTAGGATTACCCTTGTTTTAGGGTATATAGTTTTAAAGCATTGAGGCATACTACTTTCGATCTGAGCATTTGTGGGCTAAATTGGCACTTGGCACTTGGCACATTGTGTACAGAAAATTTGCCCAAGTTATAATCACTCTACTGAAAGTACTTTTGCTAATATTGAATCTCACTCCTAGGTCTGTCTCGAGCAAACCTAATCTCATTCTGATAAAAAATAAAAACAGTTGGTCATAGAGTGACAGTGCAAATTTACCACTGCTACACCTTTGCTGGTAGCTTTCTTTGCCTTTGCCTCGTTGAATTTGGGACCATTTTATCATGGTTTTTGCATACAGCTCAATCCATTTGTAAAAGCTATCAAATCGTTCTTTCGATGTAAAGCCTGTGTAAAATGTCAGCAATTCAGGATCCTTCGAAGTGTTTTCCCCTTCAAACTTGGATTCTTGAAGATCTTTGACTTGTTGCTCTAGATCTTTGATTCTGGCTTTAAGTATTTCAATTTGTTCTTAAGGGCTCAGTTCGTCAGGCTGACTGTTTTTGTTTTCCAGTTCGTCCATAGCCATTACTTGCATTGGCTTAGCACCAGCGTTGGTTTCCTGTCCTGCTGACTCAGTCTCCTCTTCTTCCATCTCGACATCTTGCTGGATTAAATCGAAAAAGAATTGACGTTGCTCCTCCTGTGCTTGCTGTTCAGCAATAATTTTTAACTCTTGCAATTTGTTTGGTCAGTGCTCCTTACCCTCCTTGGTCCATGCAAACTGCGATGGCACAACTCCATGTCTTAGGCATGTAAGCCGAGTTATAGTCTTATACATATCGTCTGGCTTGAAGTGAGCCGAGCACACAAGAGTAGAACCTTTCTTGATCTGGGAAATTAGTTTAAGACTGCAAATTATAACGCGAATAAACAAGGGGCAGAGAATTTCATTTGATGCATATTACAAAATCCGAGTCAATAAAAACAAAACAAAACCTTGCCATGTGCGTTTTACAGCTTGAGCCAAAAGTAAAATGAACTAGATGCATATCTGCATGAACTCGGGCTTTCAATAATGCACATCTGGAGTTCTCTTTAGGGGACTGCCATATTGCCATTGTTACTGTTGTCATGCAATTTAAACATTGCTGGTCACAAATAAGTCTACTTGTGTTAATTTTTGACTGCTGGAGTGTAATGAATGTTGTTATGGTACTAGACAACAATGCAAATAATATATTACCATCTAGGAGTAAGTTTCTGTAGATGCCAAAGGTTGAAATTCAAGGACTTTTCAATTACTTTGAAGGCCAAGTTTTAGAAAATTGAAGGACCACTTTTGGAAATGTTTGCATAAGCAATTTGAAAATCATTTTAAATTATTTCTCAGCTTTTCCATGAAAGTACTGTAATTTTCAACTTGAAAATTGTTAAAGAAAAAGCATTGCAAAAATCAAGCCTCAGTCCTCAAATTCAAGTACTTCAAGGCCTTGAGTGTTTAATTTTTAAATTCAAGCATCTTCTAGGACTTTTATCTATTATTTGTACCAAGTCATAGTTTGTTGCCAAATGTTCACCCAAGGAGAGTTGTCAGAAATGAGTAGATTGAAGCAATATTACTGTTCAATAGTTGATGTTTTTAATAGAAAATCTTGGAATAGTTAATACTGCTGATGGCCACAAGAGAAGCAGTGCTATTTACAGTTTGTGTATTCAATTAGAGGCATTTGACTTTCATTACATACCAAGAGGGGAAAACACATATTTTGACCTTTTTGTGGGTTTAAAAATACACGTCATACAAAAATCTGAAAACCACATCAAAAAACCTGTGCATTCAACTATTATTTCTTACAAGATTTTTGAGAATTGATTTGCTGTCAACTGAATCAGACAATATTCCTTCACTGTAATCACTTTTAAGATCTAAACTTCAGTTCCACCAACATCAGTTTTTGGCAAATCATCTGTCAGTAAATACTTGTTCAAAGCTGAATTTTCATCATCTTTTGCCATACTGAATAACAGATAACATGTTTGAATTCCAATAACTACACGATTTTATTATGGAGTAGCAGAGTGAATAGACAGCCACAAGACAATTCACATTGAACTTTCTGGCTTCACAGGTATGATTGAAAATGGGCACTATTTTGAACTTTATCAATTTTAACCCCTTTCAACTCAAATATATCATTATGTATACTCTGAAAATAATGTGCTAAGCTATTCAGTGATGATACTTCAAGCAGCGCACATGTACCTTGAGAATGGCTTCTGCCATAAATATCCCTTGCAAGAGAATCGAATTTTTCAAGCCAACATTGCCTTTACAATTGAGGTTTCCTGCTGACGTCACGTATCCCGTAGCAACCATGTTTGCCGCCATCTTGAAGGTCAGGTCTTCCAATGTTAACAAGCGATTCTGACCATGTCTGCGAAAAAAACTTACTTTTCAACGCTCGATCCGCTCGATAAAGAGAAATATTTGCAAAAAATAGCTTGTATAGACAACATTGATCAGTTTCAGATCGTAAATAAGGAATGATCGTCAAATGTTAGCGATTTTCCACCGATAACTTACGTGGACCTCGTGAACTATCTAGTCCTAAATGACTGGACGAAAAAACTAGGAAGTATATGAAGACAGTTTAAAAAAAAATTTCGTCTCTTTAGATTTTGCTGACTAAATTTTAGGCCATGAATTCTAGCCAAAAGGTACCTTGTATTGCTTCCCAATAATGCTAGCTGAGTGGCTGCAAATCCTTTAGAAGATCAATTGCAAGTTTAAAGTGCTTTGATAACCTACAATCCAAAAATGTTTGATAGTTTTACTCCCTCGAAATGGGTATATTTTCAACTAAACTGGGTTTCCTTAACTCATGTAGTGATTTTTCTCATTGCTTTACCACATGGTTCAATCGAAAGCAAAAAGTCAGTCGCTGATAACACGTGCGTCTGACAACTCGCCGGTCACGGCTCGATTCTTACCTCAAAATCTAGCCGTTCATCTCGCTTTATAGCGGCAATCCATTTCGATCTCAATAAAGAATTTGAAGGAAAGTTGAAAAAAGATAAATTCTTGCCACTCTGATTTCTCTTGTCGTTCGTACAGAAGTTAACAGAGCATTGATCGTGGGCCATACTTACTTGTCTACTGCAACACTAGTGTAACACACCCCTAAATTTATTCCCGTCCAGCCTCGATTTGGTGTGGCAAGGAATCCAAGATGGCGCTGCGTGAGAAGGGTTACATAATAAAAACACTTTATCCGTCCACATGTGGGTCTCCCGTCCCATGATAACAAGACTTGATTAGTTTATAGAGCAGCGATGATAGGGCTGAGAAATTAGAAATGGTTGAAGTGGAGTCTCGGATTTCGTGATCTTCTTGATCTTAATCTCACACAGGTATGTTTGCCGTTTCCGTGTATCACTATTCCTGGGTGTCACCATCAAATGCGATATTCACAACCCTCGTCCTCTTGTTCCACCTTCTGGGCATCACTCTATCTAACCAGTTGCTTTGTTGCGCCGTTATAGGCTACATCTAACCCACATGTTGAGCTATTGCAAAAAAATATATTTATATATAGTAACACAACTCGCAGCGCAAAGAAAGTCGCCAAAATAACGTTAAAACGACCGTAAGAGACAAGGGGGCTACGGGTTCGAGGTAACGAGATTTAAGGCGTTTTTTTTAATTTCTTTTACGATTTTTTTAACGACACACGTTTACGCTTTAAAATTCAATCTTTTTGTTGGACAGATCGTGACACTCGATTTCCGGCAGATAATTTTGAATCGTTACAATACTAATTATCCTGTTTCCGACATGTTAGGTATATGAATTCCCGTTAATGACCTATACACCCCAAAATCACACACAGTACGTATGGGCCGCCTGTGTTAACGACAAGCATTGCATCTCTGCATGTATAAAATAAACATAATACAACATGGAAGGTCTGTTCGTATGGTATTTACGTATTCGTTGGTTTGTTTCAGAAATCTCACTCGTTCGACTTCCGATACTACTAACTATGTACTGACACAGCTTCAAAATGAGTGCGCATGCTTCGTTATTCGAGCCATTTGAACGTTCAGGGTTACGATTCATCTTCTGCAATCATAAGCTGACATGGGTTTTTCCGCCGAGAAAAAAAAACTATTTCTCTGGGGTCTCCTACAAAGGAGGCGATGACAATAATCGACCGCTTAAAATACAGGATGACACGTAATACAAGTTCGACTGTATTGTCGTTCCTATTCCTTTACATTTATCGCAAGTTACAAGCATGCGCACTCAATTTGCCAACTCGTGCGTAAAATACCACACGTATAGACTTTCCATTTATTTAGCTTATTTGGAGCCACTGCTTGGCATATTAACATGTTCCTTTGTCACCCGTGTCAGCGTTGATGCTGCCATGCAGTAAGTGCTTATGATCTCTTTTGCCTTTCGTAAGCCATCGGTGACAAACGTTATCGAAAGAGGCATGTCGAGACTGACACGTTCTTCAACTCTGTTTTATTTCAATCGTGGGACTCTGGTTCCCACTTGCATTAAATCCATTTGACGTTTCAGTATACGCGACTTCTTGACCATTATTTGAAGTAGCTGTGAAGCAAAAGATGGTTATCAATGTATCTCAGTTGTCGTAAGAAATTTGATTTATCCACATTTCTAAAGAAGAAAAAAAAAGTTAAATATTCACCATTGGTTCACGTTATATTACTGGCTCACGTTTCCATAACGCTATTAAGATATGGTGAAGTTAAATTCAGTATGTGTTCAAACTGGTTATTTCACATAATTACCGATAGATTTGGACCGATTCCAGTAAAAAAGGGAAAATATATTTTTAAAAGAAATGCCACAGTGACCTAAGAACGGAACTATTACATTTGAAAAACGGAGTCATTCGAACCATGGGGTGATGGTAGATCAAATTATGTATCTCATGTAAGATAGGATGAAAATTCCTGAGCAGCAACGACAAAGAAGTAACTTTTTGCGATACCTCTACGAAGACAGCGACAGGCTTTGCAGATTATACCACTCCCGTGATTATAGTACAGGATCAAGTCAAACAAGAGAAATAAAACGACAAACTCTCCAACCATATACAACACTAAGTGCTTCCAATTCGTTATCTCCACTGAAAAAGGAAAAGATCGGATTTTTTGAGTAAGATTCAGAAGAAACTGTCTTCGGTTACAGGTTAAGAGGCGATCAATTTCTCACATAGGACGCTAGAGAAGAATCTGAAGGTACCGCCATACGACCATCCCATATGCACCAATTTGAAGGCAACGCAATACAGCAACTAAGTGCCCTCGATCATTTTTTCACTTTACACTTCATTAATCCAAGTAATCTTTCAATCCCAGGTCAATAAAGTCGATTGTGTTTGGGAAAAGTGACTAGCATATCTCCTGCCTGTCGCTAAATCTGCTTGCGCACATGGTACACCTTTCATCTTATAATATCCAAGCAAATGCATATTATCCTTTCCGGTTTAATAATACGTACCATTTCTTTTACCAAGAACTGTATTTGTCACAATTGTTTTAGGTCCTTCGCACTCGCAAGTTGAGGCGTTAAGGGATTTTTTCCCCCATTCGCAAAGTTCCAGAACAGTCTGATTGCAAACGCAACCACACGCTGTGTTACTCCATTCCTAAGGAACAATGAACAGGAAGTTAATGGTAGTGGAGGAAAACGAGGCGAAACCCCGTTTTAAAGTCAATACGCATTTCATCATATGACCTCTGACTAAGTTTTGAGAAATTCTTAAAAGTTAGTTTTAACTTAACCACGACGCGATAGACTGGCGCACGCGGTAAACCTCAAATAGATTCTGCAATAAAAATGTTTCCTTTATTTTTTCGAGTTGGAACGAGAAAATCACACTTCATCCGAAAACGTGTCTTATTTTCGCTTTTTTTTTCACTGCTGTCACGATGTGACCATACAGGTGCATTAGGACTGGACGGCTTTTTCGTACCGGTTCAAGTCAACCCGTATGACCCTACACACGTCAGTTTTCATGATGGATCTCTATAGGATTACGCGAGCTGGGCTAGACGGTCATATGATAAATTCTTTCATGATCAGAGGGATATTTCGCCATGAACTCTATGACTCGCCTCATGGAAAGCACCCGTCTGCGATTTTTAACTTTCTGATGACGACCGCACTGCGAAGTAGAACCTAGCTGACTGACGCCAGAATAGATAACCCCCCCCCCCCCTGGCTGGGAAATACCGAGAGCCCAACCCAACATGTCAGGTAAAAAAAACAGAAGGGTAGAAATGAGGTACCTTGGAAGTGATTAGACAGTGGAATGGGGAAAAGAGAAGGGTTAGGGGCTCACCATAATGTTGTTTACACATGACCACTATCGACTATAGTTTCTTTTTCAGCTATTAAAAACAAAAAAAAGCAACAGCAACAAATCGTCAACCTCAGAAAATACACTTACCATGTTGACAGGACAAAATTCTACTGGTCTTGCACAAACACACTTGCACTGGAACTGATTCCAACTACAAAAATAAATACTTTAAATTTTTACTGACTCCTGTGTCCATAGCTGGAACATTGAGTGATTTTGTCTAAAAAAACACTAATTTTCTTTCCAAGTCTTTCCAGAAATCGAAACTCTTAAGAAAGCTTTTTGAATCACTAAGAAGCAAGAGTGATTAAATTCGCATTCAAAGACAATTCAACCAAAATACTTTGAAAAAAAACACTTGCGAATTTATAACATGGAGAGGGTTTTCAAGAAGACTCTTTCTTGGTCTTTTAGTGGATCAGAAACTATTTGAAGGATCGGAAACAGTTTCTTTCGTGGAATGGAAGGGTATCTGATCTGCTAGTCATACGTCGTGGGGTACCTCGGGGATCGGTTCTAGGACTGACTCTATTCTCTATCTACCTAAATGGTGTGCTTTCTACTGTAGAACATTCAAATTGTACACTTTTCGTTGACGATACAGAGATCCATTCTGTAGATAAAGATGTTGCTCCAGTGGCAGTATATATAAACCAAGATCTTGTGCACATCGATATGTGGTTGAAGGTAAACGAGTAGGTGGCCCACCCCGGAAACTCTAATGTCACGCTATTAGGATCACGGCCTGCCCTTGAAGCTGCAATTGACACTAACTTTGACATTTATCTACAAGATCAAAGATTGAATGAAGTAGATTCCTGTAAATATTTAGGTGTATATGGAAAGCTATCTTGGGATTATCACATGAAATATATCTGCCAGGGAAATATATCTGCCAAAGCTAAGAATACTAAATAGAATATCTAGCTTCCTTATCTCAAGATTTTCTACCGTTAATTTATAAGCAAACCATTTTGCCCATCATGGATTATGGGTCATAGACGTGGTTAGATTGTTCTAAAACAGTATCTTTAAAGATTGAACGCTCGCAAAATCAGGCTATGTGTTCAATATTGAATACCAAGAGGAAAACTTGCTCACAAGAAATGTAGAGGTAAGTTAGGTCTTACTTTAGGACTGATCATAGGCGTTTTTTTGCGTGCCATGTTGTCTTTTAAGATTGTACATAATATTAGTTGCCCTGATCAACCGGTAGATTATCTTATTCGTACGCATGATAGTAATTTACGTGATAAGACTTTATCGTATCTTCCCAGGGTCAAGGCGAAAACTGGCCAAACAACTTTTCATTATTCTGCAGCAGCAGATTGAAGTACAAGTACATTAGAGATATAACCTCTTTGGAGAGGTTTAAGACTGAGTTAATTGGTTATTTTAGAGATTTAAATGTGAAATCACATCGTTGCTCACTAACCTAGGTTTTATAGTTGATTTTTTTTCTAGCCGTCGATATTTTAAATTTTTATATTTATGTTTAAAATACAAATATCGGTTTTTTATTATATTTTAGGGTTATATTTTAAGGTTTTATAATTAGTTTTTTTAGAATTACTTAGAGAGATAGAAGTTATAGAGGGCATTTTATTTCAGCTACACATGGATTGTTAGCAGCTTTTACTACAGTACCAGCTGATCCATTTTGTAAGGTAAAAAAAGTACTTATCATTATTATTGGCGAATGTCTAAAGTTTCAAGGAGCTGAACAAAATTCATCACAGAAGTGCTGAGAATGTTGAAGCCTAGGCGGATTTTCGGACATGAAAATGTCGAACAATTGGAAAAACTGAGGAAGCTTAGTTGGGTGATGTCAGTCTAGCTGTCTACTTTCATCATCCAATACTATCCCCGCCTTAAACAGAATATGCACGTGCATTACATAAGTCTTTCTAGAAATCGAAACCCTTACAAAACCTTTTTGAATAGGGAAAAACATTGTTTTTAAGCTTTCATTCTGATTGTTAAGGTGTTGCGGTTCATACCTAAATCCTTTTTTACAGGCGAGTTCCTTGGGTGGTCCCTCAAGATACCTGCACTTGCATGCGCATTCATTTTCGTCCCAGTCTTGTACTGCAAGATCACAGTCAAGTGGACTGGCCACACATTTATGAGTGCAGCTGGTGTGATTTTGCATGGTGAAGATCGTCCGAAAGTTTGCTGCACGTGAATGGACTTCAACGTTTATTTCCTCGTATCTTTGAGCCACGCAATGTTGCACTTTAGGAGAAGCTGAGTTCGCCGAGCCAGAACACCGGTGAAGGTTCACATAGAACGGATAATAGCCATAGTTGGTTGGATCAACAGGGATAATTGTCTCATGCGGTTGACAGAAAACATTTGGCAAACCTGAAAAGAAACAGCAAAGAAGAATAAAGAGAGGAAAGGAAAAACGTCGAAAATTATCATTATGGTCCGAGGAAACTCTCTTAGCTTAGATGGGAAATGAGGTTCGGGATTTTGTAATTACGATGATATCATGTAGAACTGAACAGTGGAGAGAAATCTGACAAAGATAATAGGAGTTCTGCGGGTCACCAAAACACAGACTATTTTGCTCTAACAACAAGTATCTAACGATGCATGTATGTTTGATCTCTTAAATCTTAAAATGAGACATGTTCTGACGTAAGCACTTACTTTTCCATCGAACGTTTGGGTACAACAAAGGTGCCCGTAACTCCAAGTTGTCTTCGGGAGGTTTAAATTTTTTTCTTATGGAAGGTATACTGCTTGAGAGAGGTATTTTACGGGTCAAAAGTGCTATGCTGATGGTTTTAACCTCACCGAAGTTCATCTTCCCAGTGGCGGATCCAGGGGGAGGGTCCGGGGATCCGGACCCCCCCTAACAGACCTGACACTTACAACTTTGAAACTGAAATTCTTACATCGACAGGATCGTATATCACTTTTTAACTGGCTGATCTTTTTAATGAATCTAAGTAAACGGTCAGCGGCCAAGGAATTATAACGTGCAACCGCGACTGGTGGGAGGGGGTGTGGGGGATGTGGGGAAAAGTAATTTGCCTCAAAAGAGTTCAACAGTCCTTAATTTCTGAACCCGAAAGTTTCGACCCCCCCAATCAAAAATCACTGGATCCGCCCCTGCTTCCCACAAAACCTGTTCCGTGTAGTCAAGCCTGGCCACGAATTAAGGGAGAGTGGGCGGATACCAATTTACAGCCAAACGGGATTTTGTCGTAAAAGCCTCAAGAGGAGTTGACCACTCCCCTCTGAGAGTATCTTACGCCCGGAGTTTCAATTTACGACGACCAATGATCTCTTCGATCAAGTCTTGATCTAAAATATCGGCTTCTTCTCCAGACCTTCACAGCCACGAAACTGTTAATCTTTAATTTGAACTTACTTTTGGCTTTTTGGGCAGACACAGTTACATCTAGTAATTCCAAAACAAAAATAGAAATAATCAGCAGCATTTTCGTTTCACTTTCAGAAAATTTCTTCGCTGTACGTTCTATTGCTTGATCCAGAGGAATCTGCAAGAAAAAAAAAAAGAAAAAAAAGAGAGGATAAAGGTAAGGTCGTGTGTAGGGCATACCTCCCTGCTCCAATAAACTACACCATTATGATGTAATTAATAAGTGCTTTATTCGTACAATAATTTTCTAAACATTATCAAAATAAATATCCTTGAGGGATTTATATGTTTAACTCCCCATCTGAATGAATTAGCACAGTTTGCATCGCATTTCATTCACTCTCACAATACACCCTCACAATCACGCAGTTAATCAATCACTCCTTAAGTCCACTAATTTCATCCACACGTGACAAAAGCCAAGAAAACTGATGAAGGACTAATAATCAACCCGGAACTTTCGTGTGCGCTCGCACATGATGCAAATTTTATTCTTTCATTCATAACATCGAGAAAATATTGGGAACCAAGTGATCCATCAAGAAAAGAGGTTATAAACTTGTATTATTTTGATCAAAATTACTGATCACTTCACGTGCACCTCCGCCAATGTTGTCGATTGCACAACTTGCACTTACAAAAAGATGTATAAAAAGACGACAAGGTGACCGATTCCGAGAACAACTTTGCGACGCAGAAAGGAATGGCAAGTACGTATCCAAACGAGTCGCCGGACACATTAATCTGCCTAATCGTTCGAAGCAGCAAGTGGCAGTTTGTAGCCTTTCCTTACGGCTAAGCAGTTCGATAATGATAATGATAACGCTGACGTCCGATCTCAACCTTAGTAACACTGTACACCTTAGCAATTCGAGTTTGACTAATGGTCGTGGGTCGTGGGTCGTGGGTCGTGGGTCGTGGGTACAAGTCGTGGGTCGTGGGTACAAGTCGTGGGTCGTGGGTGTGGGTGTGGGTGTGGGTAAAAGTCGTGGGTGTGATTAATACTTAACAATGACAATAATCATTTAAAATATTAGTTATAATAATACATAAATATTATACAACCCTTGTCCAGTCATTGTATCAGCTCGGTTTAGTGATCCTAATATTTCATTGATTTCATCCAAAAGAATTAATTCATTTCACCTAAAAAGAAAAGTGAAACCAAAGACAAAGCCATTATTTGCAGGATGATGTAATCTCTTAAAATGAGGGTCATTCCAAAGAGTTTGAGGAGTTTTGTTCAGGTCAAACGCTTGATCAACACACAAAAAAATAATATCTTACACTGAAAAGAGAGAAGTGTTAAACTTAAAAGAACAACGTTTTCAGAACATGAAAGAAGCTTCGAGGATCAGAAACACGGCTATTGGCCGTGTTCTTGAATTAAAATGAAATTGTGCTCTCAGTGTCGGTTAAAAATAAATGAAGTTTCAAAATTAAAAGTATATCCCTCTGTTGGTTAGGGAAAATAAAACTTGCGTTGATCAATGACATTCAGACAAAGAGCCGAATGCTTCATCAATTGTCATCTCCGTATCGCGTACCATCTACCCCGCATCTAAGAAAAAAAATGAAGTGAAACAGCGAACTGTTGCAAGATAAGCCGATATATAGATAGCAACGTTGCAACGTTAGTTGCAGGTCTGGAGATGTTGGCTCCAAGGTTTTTCCAAGGCACGAAAATATAAAACCTCTGGTATCCAGTGTGCGGTACAATCGACAACCGGAAATCGCAAGCCAATGTTAAATTGGTCAC